GCCTTAGCTGGTTGAGCTATAGGCGCCAAGCCAAGAAATCTTAAAAATCCATAGTTTTCACAGCTATGAAGATTCTATTGTATATTGAAAGTTTTTCAGATTCTCAGGGATATGAAAAAATGTGGTATCCATGAAATAAGTGCAGGCTACTATAAAAAGGAGTATTCAGAGAACAAAAATAATTTTTAAAAAATATGAAATCAGGTAATATTCTATAGAATTGGATGATAAATTTAAGAAAATATTCCAGAAAGTTGAACAAATATCAAAGAGAAGATAAAAAATCAAAGTAGTGGAAGTGGTGGCACAACTCTGTAAGTATATAAAATGGGTGAGATTTATGGTATGTTTATTACATTTTAATAAAGCTGTTATTTTAAAAAGAAAAATACTTAAAAGGCAAGTCCAAGAATTGTAACATCTGAAAAATAGTAGTTCCAGGCACTATAAAGTAAACAGAAAATTATTAAACACATAAAACTAGAAATTTTTTTAGAATTAAAAATGGTCATGAGTACATACAGTAGAATCTCTGTAAGCTGACCACCCAAGGGACTGTGACACACTGGTCAACATTACAGAGGTGATCAACATGAGGAACTAGGCCTACTGTACTGACATGTACTTGTGGTGCATGTCCAGTCTGTGAAATTTAGGTCAATTTAAGGAGGTGGTCAATGTTAGGAGGTCAGCTATGGAGGCTCTATTGTATATTGAAAGTCTTTTAGATTATAAACAGTATGAACAGATGTTGAGAGCCAGATTTGGACAAGGCAAACTAATTGTGTCCATCACAATAAATGGAAAAGTCCCATACTAAGGTGTATTATATAATTTTTAAAAACCCAAGATAAAAAGAAGAATCCTTAAGTTTTATTCAGAGAAAAAATAATCAGTTGCAATTAAGCAACCAAGAATATGAATGGCTCTTCAGATACCTCAGTAATGCATTAAAAAATATGAATGGCATTGGGCTTCTGAAGAATAACTCCAGGAACTAGAACATGGAAAAAATACATTTAAAATTCTGAAGAGAACTGATTTTGCAGAGGCAGGATAGATACCCACTGAAAATTTGATTTAAATTTTAAGACTGATAATGCTATCCACATACTGAGGGTACAGAAAGGTTTATTACTAAGGCTTTCTGGGGAGAAAGGTGGTTTCCAAGTAGGACCAAAAATGACTTGAGAGTGTAGGGAAAGAAGATTGGCCTATGGTATTGGTGATAGTTAGAGGGTGGGACCTGGTTGAGATTTCCTATGTATATGTTTGAACTTGCTACTATTGCCAAAAGGTGGAGCACTAAGGCTTTTATGTCACCTCACCCAGATACAGTGTAGAAGGGGAGGAGGGAATAGTAAGGTTTAAAAGCTGTCATGCATGTATCAAAAAGTGGCATCAGTCTCTTAAACATACTAACCTAGAATCCTTTATCCAGCCATGCTGTCACTCAAGTGTTGAGATAGTACAAAGGATTTTTATTTTTTGAGAAAGGGTCTGTCTTTCTTGCCTGGGCCAGAGTGTCACAATGTCATCTTAATTCAGTGTAACCTCAAACTCCTGCCTCAGCCTCCGAGTAGCTGGGACTACACATGGACATCACCATGACTGGCTAATTTTTAATTTTTTTTTTTTTTTTGTAGAGATAGGGTCTTCCTATTGCCCAAGTTGTTCTTGAACTCCTGGATTCAAGCAATTCTCCTGCCTTGGCCTCCCAAAGTGCCACCCAAACATGTAATTTTTAAATACACTTAAATTTCTAACTTGTGACACTAGAAACATTCTCCCACTGACATAGCATGAATATGTATATGTTATTTTCTCTGCCTAACTACCCATGTGGTGAGTTCAGGGCTTTTTATTTCTGAGCCTAGCTTGAGTTCTGGGGCATAGTAGAATGGGTAGCTTTGCCGTGGAGCTATTCATGAAAGTTTAAGAGTAGAAGGCAAGAAAGATATAGCAATACATGAGTGGAAAGGATGAAGGCAGAGTGAGAGAGTAAAAGAAAGTACAGGGTCAGAGCACTCTCAGGCAGCTGGAGTAATGGAAGCAAAGGATGCTCAGAGGGGCAGTCTACCTCTAAAAGCTGAGGAGGTGGAGAAGGATGGTAGATTGAGCCAGTCATTTTGGCTGTAGGAGGTAGCCAGGTAGGAGGAGATAAGGTGAGTGGAATAGGAGAAAAAGTTGTGGTCAGGTCAAAGGAGGAAGAATAAAGAATTGTCTCAAGTGGGTAATGGATGAGCAGAGATAAGCATAAGTCAGCTCCAGAGCAGGGGATAAAAGGTTTTCAGAAAAATCATCCCATTTGATTCCTCCCACCCACACACACACACCATTTTCTGTCAGTGTTGACCTCTATCTTGTCATATTAGAAGTATGTTTAATAAATGCTTACTAAATATAACAGAATATATTTTCCCCCTTTAAATCTTCTGGTTCTGCTCAACTTTTAATACTGTGCTCTATCCCCATCATTTATTAGACAGTTCTTTATTTTAGTCCACTTGTTGCATGACTTTAAGACCTCTGAATTGGCTGAGCGTGATGGCTCACACCTGTAATCCTAGCCTTCTGGAACACAAAGGCAGGTGGATCTTTTGAGCTCCAGAGTTCAGAGACCTGCTGGAGCAAGAGTGAGTCTTGTCTCTTTTAAAGAGAGTTATCTCAGCTACTTAGGAGGCTCAGGTAAGGGGATCACTTGAGCCCAAGAATTGGAGGTTGCTATGAGCTATTATGCCACGGCACTCTACCCAGAACACAGAGTCAGACTCTGTTTGGAAAAAAAAATAAAGACCTCTGAATATGGGAAGATTCTCTGTTCAAATATTTTGCTCATTTTCTTATCAAGATGTATGTTTTCATGTTACTGAGTTTTCAGAGTTCTTTATATTCTGGATTTAGCACATTTGCCACTGTTTTCTCCCTTCTCTGGGTTATCTTTTAATCTTAGTCTCTTAAAGAGAAGTTTCAAATTTTGGTAAGGTCCAGTTTATCTTTGCTGTTGTTTTATGAATTTTCTTTTTAGTGTTACATGAAGGAATCTTTACCTCAATGTCACAACTTTTCTCCTATGTTTTTTCCAGAAATTTTGTAGTTTTAGGATTTACATTTAGGTCTATGATCTATTTAGAGTTAAATTTCATATGATGAAAGGTATGTGTGCCAGGTGGTTTATTGTTGTCGTTATGATGTGTGGTTATCTTGTTGTTTCATGATTTGTTCAAAAGACTGTCCTTTCTCCATTGCATTGCCTTTACATCTTAAATCTAAAGTCAGTTGCTGCTATGTGTGTGAGTCTATTTCTGGGCTGTCTGTTCAATTCCTTTAATCTATTTGCCTATGTTTAGGCTCATTGTTTTTTAGATGGAATTACTAAAATAATGCTTTTCTCTCCTCAGCTATTTAGCTTGTAATTAGTAGGTTACTTAGATGTAAAACTTGAGTTTTTGAGCCAAGACTTTTTTTTTTTTTTTTAGACGGAGCCTCAGGCTATCCCCCTGGGTAGAGTGCCATGGCATCACAGCTCACAGCAACCTCCAACTCCTGGGCTCAAGCGAGTCTCCTGTCTCAGCCTCCCAAGTAGCTGGGACTACAGGCGCCCACCACAACGCCTGGCCATTTTTTTGGTTGCAGCCATCATTGTTGTTTGGCGGGCCCGGGCTGGGAATTCAAACCCGCCACCTTAGGTGTATGTGGCTGGCACCTTAGCCGCTTGAGTCACAGGCACCGAGCCTGAGCCAAGACTTAAAACTGAACCAAATTAGAGGGGGGAAGTAAGTTATAAAAGTAAAACTTTGAAAAACAATGAGGGGGGAGAAAAACAATGGAAGAGGATCATAATGTATTTTATCAACATCAACAATAGAGCTATTTTCTAAGATTCAGATTAAAATGTTTAAATATTATGCCATTTCAGTTGTATGTGGGAGCACTTTTAAATTCTTAGTATACAACTAAGTACATATATGTCTATAGATTTGAATTTTTATGATTTCAAGTCTTTTTTTCTATCAAAAAATTTTACCCATTTTTCTTTTTTATCCTACAGGATTAAGTTTGCAGCATGACATTTCCAGTTCTCTTCTGAGTTATTCAATTACAGACCCTTATACAGGATACAAGAGTTCTGAAGAGAGTTTAAGTAGCTTCCCTTCACCTGAACTGTTCAGAGGATCGGATTATTTAGGTGAGAAAATGATTGCAGTCTTAAATTGCTATACTTAGAAATTGTGCCTTTGTCCACAAATCTCCAATGAATAAAGGTGTCTTTTGAGAAGGTGTACTTCTTTTCTTTGTTACCATCTCCTTCCACTGACTAATATCCATTGGATCAAAGGATGAAGAAATGTCATTAAGCATTTACATGTAATACACATCTAGTTATTAATTTTGCACATAATGAATATTTGTTCTCTTGAACTATGGACTATCTTTTGTTTTCTGTATTTCTCTTACTTTTCAGCAAATAATGTGTTAGCTAGGCCAACTCCCTGCTTGAATTTTCTCTATAAATTAACACTTACTTGGACTTATTATATGTGTTAAATATTGACTTTGGTTAATGATGGAAGATTGAATACATGCCTTTATTTATACATTTCTGCAGTGGCAGAAAATGGCTTCCCTCCTTTTGAAGTTATAAACATATAAGGACAAAAAGAATTGGCTCATGCCTGTAATCCTAACACTTTGGGAGGCTAAGACTGGAGGATTGCTTGAGGCCAGGAGTTTGAGACCAGCTGGGTAACATAGTAAGACCCTGTCTCTACAAAAAATAAAATATGTTATCTCGGCATGGTAGTGTGTGTGCCTATAGGACTAGCTACTCAGGAGGCTGAGGCATGAGCATCACTTGAGTCCAGGAGATTGAGGCTGTAGTAAGTTTTGATTGTGCCACTGCATTCTAGCCTGGATGACAAAGGAAGATTTTATCTTAAAATAAATGAAGAAGATTTCTCTTGTACCCTGGTCTACAATGGCAGATGAAGCTACCTGGCATGTGGGGTCTGAGATCCCAGTGCTGAAGACTAATGCTGGACCCTAAGATTGGGAGTTGTGGGTGCAGCGACTGAAGGAAGAATACCAGTCTTATTCAGGTGGTTTGGAAAATGCTGGTACATCTATGATCTCAAATACAAGTTTGACATTGAATTTGACATTCCTATCACATATCCTACTACTGCTTCAAAAATTGCAGTTCCTGAGCTAGATGGAAAGACAGCAAAGATATATAGGGGTGGCAAAATATACCTGACCACTTTAAACCTTTGGGGGCAGGAACATGCCTAAGTTTGGACTAGTTCATCTCATGGCTCTGGGACTGGGTCCATGGCTGGAAGTGGAAATTCCTGATCTGATTCTGAAGGGTGTGATCTAGCACAAAGAGAAATGCAACCAAAGAAGGAGCAGGCCACTGAGGCCGGGCAGAGGGACTTTTGATAAGTTACCTTACTCTTTTAGTATGCTCCTTACTTACCCACCTGCTTCCTCCTACACCCCATGCCCCTAGTTGTTACTAAGTAGCTACAGTAGGCCTAGATGGAAAGAAAACAGACAAACAAACAAACAAACAAACAAAAAAACACCAAACAGTATTGCTACTGAGTTTCTCAGGCTGCAAAGGGAAGAGACTGGACTGGGCCTTGGAAAATCTAAAGGCAATTTGTATCTCTGGGGGAGCAATGTGAGACCCTGGAGGCACAGGGTGTAACTGAGATTACATACATGGCCTTTCTGGTTTCTGGAGCCAACCCATCAAAAAATGAAGAAGAAGAAAGTATAAAATTTGGACAGCTATAGGGCAGGTGGTCTGACACACTAGACTTCAGGAAAGCTGAGTCTTAAATCAACAATATGAATACCCCAGAAACAAGCCAGTTTACACCTGTAGTGTCATAGAAAAGCTCATAATTTGGCTGTGCCAAATACTTGTGAAAAGATGTCAGAAATACGAAAAATGTGATGACTGCTTTGAATTTCTTCTTCGAAGAGAGCCTAGAGATGTATGATGTTTTGAAAGAAGGGGACTCTGGACTAGAGGATTCTAGGTACTCTTCATAGCCAGGATGCTGTGGTATTTTGAAATGTGTTTGTTTCCCTGTAGTAGTAGTATATATTCATATCTTTTCCATACCTTTATAATGGGTAGAGTGACTCTTCTACTCTTCGACTTTGGGATTGGCCATGTCATTGCTTTGGGCAATAGGATATCAATGAACAAAACTTAAGAAAAGCAAAAAACCAAAAACTTATGAAAAGCTTTCAGATTTGGTTAGTTGAGCTTTTCCTATTGTCCTTTTGCTATTATTATAAGAATATATCCTAATTAGCTCTGCCTCTCTTGTGAAACCCTAGACTGAGAGATACAAAGCAGAGTAAGTCCTGGGGAAACTTCAGACAGTGGAGCGCTGCATCAGCTGATCTGCAAACCTATAAGCTGAAGCAGAGCTGCCCAAGCCAACCAGTAGAAATGGGAACTAAATGTTTTTTATTCTGTGCCACTGAGATTTTGGAACTGTTTACTATACAGCAAAAGCTGACTGCTGCAGATAATGTTCTGAACATAGAGAATTAAGTGAAAGTGTGTATCCTAAACTATGGGATCCGTTCATCCAGTGCCTATTCCCACCCCAGCCCAACAGCCCATTTCTCTACTTAGCTTCTTGGACTTGAACCTTCCAGATGGGAGAAAAATAGAAATTCTGTTCTCAGGAATCTGAGTAGCCTAAAAGAAATAATCACAAATATTGACCTCAGGAGTCCTTCAATTAAATTGACCAGTCAACACCAATGCAGTGAAAACAACTATTTGATAAGCCCCACTCAGGTTATAGGGTTTCCACATAGCCTTTTAAATATGTGCAGAGAGATAAGGATTACCAGACTTCTGAGGTAAACCTCTAACATGGAAAAAAAAAATCAAAATAAAACATAACAGCAGCATCAGTAAGATGTTGGAATAGGAAGCCCTGGATCTTCATGCTCCTCATCAACACACTATTTCAACAACAGTACATGCACCAATTCTGTTTGTGAGAAATCCAGAAACTAGTTGAGGGGCTCTTGTCTCTTAGGCAAGCCTGGACCAGCCACATTTAAACCAGTAGGAAAATTTAGAGACGTAACCTGCACCTCTGATACAGCACCATACAATTGGGAAGAAACTTCTAGCACTCAGCTTCTCCCTGATGGGAAAGAAAGGACTTGACCACATAGTCCTAAATTTACAGTGTTCTGAATTTTCTGAGGGATGCCTGAGGGAACTGACTATATCGTGCCTGTCTCAGAGTGCTTTTAGGACCAAACATGGGTGCTTGGTGACTGCTGAAATAACAGTTTGGTCCAGCATGCAAGCATTCACCATAGCCCCTCCACCTAGCTCAATGCAGAGCAAGTGGGCAACTCTACCCCCCTCACTCCCACTGCTTCCCCAGATCCCAAATTTTCCTTGGGAATTGAAAGAGTTGCATGATGCATCAATATTTCAACTTTTCCTGGGCTTTCTGTCTCAGTTCTTGTCAGTTCCCTTAGGCAGGCAGGACCTGATATATTCTGGGTTCCTAGAGGCTGCCAAGAACAAAGACAGTTGTTTGGATAGCACAAAGAGTTGAGTGGCCCACAGAATCTCAGGCTGGGCTGATTAGTGAGGGTGTTCTGAACGAGGCCAGTCTGTACCACTGGGAGAGGTGGTTGTTTTTTCTTATGTGCAGATACCAACACTAAGTGTCAAGGAAAATGAAGAACACAAAAACATGGTCTAAACAAAGGAACAAGATAAGCCCCATAAAATGACCCTAATGAAATGGAGATACAGGAATTATCCAACAGCTAATTCAAACTAATTCTCATAAAGATGCTTAATGAGGTTTGAAGAACAGTGCAAGAGAACAAAGGGAGAATTTCAAAAAACAGTAAGTTGTAAAAACAGCCAGACAGGAATCTTAGAGCTAAAGAGTACTATATTAGAACTTAAAAATTAAACAATGAGGTTTAATAGCAGACTAAACAAGAAGAATCAGTGAACTTGAACACAAGACATTTAAAATCATGCCATTAGAGAAGAAAAAAATTATGCATTATGGGAATCCAGAGAGAAAGGGCTAGAAAGCTTATTATTATTATTATCATTATTTCTACATCAGCCAGAGACCCTATTGAGAATTAAACTTACAATCCCTGTAGAAAGCTTATTGAAACAAGTAATGGCTGAAAACATCTCAAATTTAGGGAATAAAATGGACATTCAGATCCAGGAAAGCCAATGAACCTGAAGAAATATACTCTGAGACACACTATAATTGAATCATTAAAAGCCAAAGACAAGAATTTTGAAAGAAGCAACAGAAAAAGGACTTGACATAGAAGGAATACCTAATAAAATTAGGAGCCAATTTCTCAGCAGAAACTTTATAGGTGAGAGGAGAATGGCATGATATATTCAACGTGCTGAAAGAAAAATTATCAACCAAGGATCCTATGCTCAGCCACAGTTTTTCAAAAATGAGAGATAAGTACTATTCCTGACAAACAAAAGCTGATGGAGTTCATCACCACTAGACCTGCCTTATAAGAAATGCTAAAGGAAGTTCTTCAGGTTGAAACTTAAGAACACTAAACAGCAACACAAAACTATAAAGCTATAAAGACAATAGTATGTCTTTATCAATGTGGTAAATTTCTGTTATCCAGAACTCAAGCAACTGGCACTCGCTAGCAACCATCATTCAAAGTTGAGGAGCTTTCCCAGAAAAAAAGATAAGTAAAAAAAAGAGGAAAAAATGTTTTAAAAGATGGAAATTTGGAGAAAAAAGATGGAGAAACTGGGTGCGCCCGTGGCTCAAAGGGGTAGGGCGCCAGCCCCATATGCTGGAGGTGGTGGGTTCGAACCCAGCCCTGGCCAGAAAAAAAAAAAAAAAAAAAATGGAAAAACAGTACATGAAATCTGGTATCAAGTAATAGAGTTCCAGAAAAACACAATGAAGTAAAACTGAGAGAAGAATATTATCAAAGATAATTCAAGAACATTTTCTGGAGCTAACAAATATTAATTTCCAGGTTAAAGGGCCAACAGTACACCGAGTGCAATAGATGAAAAACACCAAGGTGCAGCGTTGTGAAAATTCAGAACACCAGGGATTGGAATATTGGTCTAACTGAATATGTTATATAACAGTTTGGGAACAATGGGAGAGGTGGGAAGGATGAGGATGAGGGGTGTAAGAGGGAATAGCCTCATTATTATATAGTGAGAAGTCAATAGGAAAGTTAAAACTAATGTCAATAGCAATTTAAGTACAATAATCCTTCTGTATCTCTGGAAGATTGGTTCCAGGGCCTCCCTCAGATAATAAAATCTATGAATGCTCAAGTCTCATATAAAATGGCATAGAATTTGATGGTTTTCTGGGTTTTTTTATTATGGCACCATCATAGCTTACAGCAACCTCAAACTTTTGGGCTCAAGCAATCCTCTTGCCTCAGCTTCTGCAGTAGCTGGGACTAGAGGTGCCCACCCTAAAGCCCAGCTAATTTTTCTATTTTTAGTACAGACAAGGTCTCGCTTTTGATCAGATCAAACTCCTGAGCTCAAGCAATCTGCCTGTCTCAGGGCTCCCAGTGTGCTAGGATCATAACCTTGACCACCACACCTAGCCAAAATGGCATAGGATTTGTATAGAACCAATACATAACCTCCTTTATTCTTTATATCCTGTCTAGGTTACTTGGAATATCTAATGCAGTGTAAGTGTTATGTAAATAGTTGTTAAACTGTATTGTTTGGGGAATAATGATGAGGAACAAAAGTCTGTATGTTTAGTAAAGATGCAGTTTTTTTCCTAGTATTTTTGCTCTGTGATTAGTTGCATCTGTAGGTGCAGGACCTATAGATAAGAAGGGCCAACTGTATGCTATTTAGTGATATGATTTTTAATGGGACATAGCTAAAACTTACACATAACATATGAGAATCAGCTCACATGTATGTGGTTTGTCCCTTAGGTCAATTATCTTTATGAAGCAAAAATCAAAGGAAGGCCTGGTTATAGAAATAGAATAGGCCATAGGTTATTTACTATCTTGATGCCATCAAGTCTTATTTTTTGTTCTGTCTTGTCAAAACCTTCTTCAGTTATCAGGTTGGCAGAGGCTGGGACCCTAAGTTGAGGAGGTAGATAGGGAAAGTAGCCCTTGTAGGCTGTTGTTCAGAGTTTTTTGCCATTTTCTCTTTGCTTTTTCAGACTGGGAATGTCTCAACTTGAAAGACCACATGCAGTGGAAGAATTCCACTCTTCTGGATACCAGTAAAGCAGTAACAATAGAGAAGGCACCACAATTTTCAAATCTCTCAGCAATTTTAAGTGAGTTTCACAGCACAGAGGAACATTCTTTATGTATGTTAGAAAAACAAAATATTTTTTCTCTTGAGTGAATTCTAAGCTATATTTATCAGTTGGATTGCCTTTGGCTATAAATTATATCTAACAGTAGCTTGAGTACATATAGGTTTGCTTTTTAAAAAAATTTAACAAATAGGGCAGCGCCTGTGGCTCAGTGGATAGGGCGCTGGCCCCATATACCAAGGGTGGCAGGTTCAAACCCACCTCCGACCAAATAGCAACAAAAAAATAGCTGGGCATTGTGGTGGGTGCCTGTAGTCCCAGCTACTCAGGAGGCTGAGGCAAGAGAATTGCCTAGGCCTAGGAGTTGGAGGTTGCTGTGAGCTGTGTGATGCCACGGCACTCTACTGAGGGTGATAAAGTGAGATTCTGTCTCTACAAAAAAAAAAAAAAAAAAAAATTAACAAACATTTTTAAGAGATAAGGTCTGGCCATGTTTCTCAGGCTGGATACAAGCTACTGAACTCAGCCTCCCAAGTAGCTGGGACTACAGGCAAGTGTCACTGTTCCTGGTTGGATTTACTTTTTTTTATAACTTTCTATTCTGAACTAATTTTAAACTTGTATAAAAATTGCAAAAATAAATATTGGGGATTCCTGTAAATGTCTTACCCAGCTGCTTTCTCTAATGTTATCTTAGAAACCTTAGTACAATGATCAGAACCAAGATATGCTTTTTTTTTTGAGACAGAGTGTCACTATGTCACTATGTCACTCTTGGTAGAGGGCTGTGGTGTCACGCTACCTCAAACTCTCAGGCTTAAGCAATTCTCTTGCCTCAGCCTCCCAAGTAGCTGGGACTACAGGCACCTGCCACAATGCTTGGCTATTTTATGTTGTTATTGTCATTGTTGTTTAGGAGGCCTGTGCTGGGCTCGAACCCACCACCCCTGGTGCATGTGGCTGGCACCCTAAACACTAAGCTACGGGCACTGAGCCCAGGATATGCATGTTAACGTTGGTATAAAACTACCTACTAAACTATAGACCTCATTCAAATTTTACCAGTTTTTCCATTAATGTTTTTTCTTTTATTTCAGCATCCTATACTGGATCCCCCACTGTGTTTAATTATTATTTTCCTTAGTCTCTCACAGTTTGTAACAGTTCCCTAATCTTTCATGATCGTGATACTTTTGAAGATTACTGATCAGTTATTTTGTTGAATGTCCCTCAGTTTGGATTTGTGTTGATGTTTTTTCATGATTGTAATTAGGTTATGCAATTTTTAGTAAAAATACTATGGAAATGATATTTTGCCCTCATCAGTGCATCAGATCAGATCATAGGCTTTATGATGTCATTATTTGGTATTACTATTGTTGTTAAATTTTGTTACTTGGTTAAGATAGTGTCTGCTTGGTTTCTCCAAGGTAAAGTTACTATTTTTCCCTTTGTAATTAATAAATAATTTAGACAAAGGTAGTTTGAGATTATAAATTCTGTTTCTCCTCAACTTAAGTTCCCTAATTTTAGCAGCCACCAGAGAACTAGTCAACTGCAACCCTTATGACTATAGTGTTTGTCTAATGATGATTTATAGTCTACTCTTTCATGCTACATTTATTGATTGGAATTCTACTGTAAAAGAAGAACTCTTTTCTGCCATTTGTTTAATTACTTATACTAATGTGAACTCATAGATACTTAACTTTATTCCATGAGCCAAAATCTAATACTTTCATTATTTATTTATTTGTTTATTTAATTCTAGTAGATAATTAAAGTAGTTTTGGAAGTTTTAAACCTAGACCCCTGTGAGAAACATGTTTATTAAATAGATTACAGTATTTATGTATAGTTCTTTTTTGTGTTCAGTCAAAATACTAACTTTCCAAAGTTACATATGTTACTGCTAGTTCTCTTTTTCCCTGTACTCTTATCCAAGTATGTAGGTGCCTGTATTCCCAAGTAATTGGGAGGCTGAGGCAGGAAGATGACTTGAGTTTATAGTGAGCTATGATGACACCACTGTACTTTAGCCTGGGCAACAAAGTTAGGCCCTGTCTCTGAAATGAAATGAAGTGAAGATAAGAAATTGGTGTATTTGCCTGACAGGATTGTTGTAAGAATTAAGTGAGATAATAGATATAAAAAGACCTCAAAAATTATAAAGAACTATCCAAATACAAGGCAACTGATTCATGTATCTCATGCAATTTTGCGTCTTTTTTTACTTTTATATTTTGAAAGTACTTTTATCTAATTTAAGTGACAGACATAAAAAATATATAAAAAATAAAAGTATGGGCCAGGTGTGGTGGCTCACGCTGGTAATCCTACTGCTCTGGGAAGCTGAGGTGGGAGGATCACTTGAGCTCAGGAGTTCAAGACCAGCCTGAGCAAGAGGGAGACACTGTCTCTACTAAAGATGGAAATATTAGCTGGGTGTTGTGGCAGGCCCCGGTAGAGCCAGCTACTCAGGAGGCTGAGGCCAGAGGATCACTTGAGTGCAAGATTTTGAGGTTGCTGTGAGGTAGGACGCCACTGGCACTCTACCGAGGGTGACAGAGTGAGACTCTGTCTCAAAAAAAATATAAAAATAAACTGCACCGTCACCATGTGTTGGGAGAAATATTTATTTTCACCTAGAGTAATTTTAGCCCCTAGTTTGTCATTGAATTATATTTCTAACTGAGTTTTAAAATTTCTTCTCCTAGATACCTCTTCAGAAGATTATCAGAAGTTTCATAAAAAAAAGTAAGAACTAAAATTTTAAAGTTATTGTGCATTTTAGAATCTTATATTCTAATAGTTATTAATAGTTATATGGCAAGTATGATTGTGAGTCCACAATCAGGTGTTCATTAATTCAGTATTTGTTGAGGAATCACTATGTCTCGGGACTGTTATAATTGCTAGAAATATGGTAGTGAACAGGTTGATTGAAAATAAAATCTCTGCCCTGACGTTGTCCACATTCTAGTTGGAGGAAATGGACAATAAACAAATAAATATGAAATTTATACTGTGCCATATATTGATGAATGCTGTGGAGAAATATAAAGCAAGGTGGAACCTAGGGAATACTGATATGGAGATTTTCTCTTTTATACATTTGGTTAGGGACGTCATCATTGAAAGATAGTATTTGAGCAGAACCTAAAGAAATACATAGAACAAGCTATGTGGCTCATTGTTTCAGGTAGACAGGTAGAAGGAATAGCTAGAGAAAGGCCGTGAGGCAAGAAGTCCTGGGCGTCTGGAATGGAGAGAGGTAGGAGATGAAGTGAGAGAAGAAGCAGGAAGCCAGACCATATAAAGCAGGGGTCCTTAAACTTTTTAAACAGGAGGCCAGTTCACTGTCCCTCAGAGCATTGGAAGGCTGGACTGCGGGCCCCGGGACCAGTTGGCTGCTAAGCAGGACAGGCAGCAGCGGCAAAAACACCTGGCGGGCCAGATAAATGTCCTAGGTGGGCTGCATGTGGCGCGCAGGCTGTAGTTTGAGGACGCCTGATGTAAAGCATTGTAGACCAAGGTAGGTGAATTGGGAGGCCTTTGAAGAATGAATGACTTAGGTTTCAGTAGAATCACCCTGGCTGCTGTGATGAGAATAGGCAAGAAAGTAGGGGAAGAAGGAAATAGAATGATTATAGTTAGGAGACTATTGTGCTAATAGGCAAAAAATATTGGAGTATGAATCAGAATGATAAGAGTAGAGGTAGTGAGATGTGGTATTGAAAATATTGTGAAAGTAGAACTAACAGTATCTGTTAATGTACTGAATGGTGGGATGTGAGAGAAGGCATTCAAGGCTGATTCAACAGCTTTTTTTTTTTTATGTTTGATTCCACTGTTTTAATTTAATAGTAGATCTATAAAATAAGATTTTATGAAACTCTTCTGATTTATTTTTGTATTTTTATATTTGTATTTTTATATTTTAATATATCTAAGCTCCATTTTGTAGAAGCTTGTCAAACATTTTATGAATTTACTTTGGTCTTAATACCAATGCAAATTTGGATGTTAAGCTTAATGTACTGATTTTAATAAATTTATCTATCTATCTGTCTATCTCTTTATTTATTTTGAGACAGAGTCTCACTCTGTCACCCTAAGTAGAGTGCTGAATCATCATTGTAGCTCACAGCAACTTCAAACTCTTGGACACAAGCCATCATCCTGCCTCAGCCTCCCAAGTAGCTGGGACTATAGGCATTCACCACCATGCTCGGCTCGTTTCTCTATTTTTAATAGAGGCAGGGTCTCACTTTTGTTCAGGCTGGTCTGGAACTCCTAAGCTAAAACAATCTACCTGCCTCAGCCTCCCAGAGTGACAGGTGTGAGCCCCTGTACCCGACCTGATTTCAATAACTTTAATCCTGCTTTTTCCTTCCTTGATTTCCTTTAAGTCTTGCTTCCTGATAGTTTGTAAAATTGACATTTTATTCTAGTCCATGAACAATTGCAAAAATTATTTCTCTTTCTTCCTTAAAGTAAGAAGGCTATAAGTTACTTTTTCATTGTTTTAAATTTATACCACATGAAACGCAATATTATGGGGAAATTAATTAATACTTGAGGATCACAAATGATTGTATCATGTTGCTAAACTCCATTAGGCTTCTAATCTAATTTTTTTTATTTTTTAGAGACAGAGTCTCACTTTGTCTGAAATAATTTTTGTTCTTTGTGAATTACCAAAAAGTTACTGCTCTCCATGTACAGGATTCCCTAGTGGATTAGGATTTTCCACCACATATGCACTGATTACTTGTAACTCTGTAAAAGGTTGAGGACAGATTGACCTTTGCTGACCCTTGGGAGCTAATGGCTATAGTTTATTCATATAATGTTTCTAAAAACACTGTATCTTTTAGTATTTATTTCAAGCAAATTTGTATTAATGGATTTTTTAAAATAATGATGCCAGTACCTCTTGTTTTTGAGATTCTTTAACAAAAAAGAGTGGTGTTGCCATTTAGTAAGATGGAGAAGACTAAGGAGAAATATATTACTGGGGAAGAATTTAATTTGGAGCTTATGGTTGAATAATAGGGTATATATGAGAGATATAGAATCTAAGTTCAAGGATCATGAGGGCTTGGAATTTTATTTTATCCTAAATGTGATAAGGGCCTCTAAAAGATTTTCTGTAGAACTATAGCATATAACGAATTTTTAAAAGCACCTTAACCCTCACACTATTTGAAGGGATTTATAGAACATTTATGTAAGTTTAAAAACAAAGTTAGGAGACACCATTAAGAAAGTGAAAAGGCTACCATAGAATGGGAGAAACTATTTGCAGATCGTATATCTGAAATGGGACTTATGTCTAAAATGTAAAAAGAGCTCTTATAGCTCAACAGCGAAAGGACAAATAATCCAGTTTAAAAATAGGCAAAGGATATGAAAAGACATTTCCCCAATGGTCAATAAAAGATAAAAGGCAAATTAAAACAATGAGCTACTACTTCATACCCACTAGGATGGCTATAATCAAAGACAGATAAAAAACGTTAGCTTGAATGTGAAGAAATTGGAACAGTTATGGCTCACTGGTGGGAATTTAAATAGTCATGCTTCCTTTAGTTTGGCAGTTCCTCAAAATGGTAAACACATTTTACCCATCAGTCTACTCCTAGGTATATACAACTGAGAGAAATAAAAACATAAACATAGGCAAAAACTGCTATGTAAATGTTGACAGCCTTATTCATAATAGGAAAAAAGTGAAAACAGCCCAAACGTCCATCTACTGGATAACTGGAAAACGTCCATCTAATGGATAAATAAAAGGTGGTGTAGACATACAATGTAATATTATTCATGAATAAAAGGAAGTATAATATTAGTATAGGCTCCAAAATGGATGAACCCTGCAAACATGATAAGTGAAAGAAGCCAGTCAGAAAATGCCATGTATTTTCTGATTCCATTCATATGAAATGTCTATAATACACAAATTTATAAAGGTAGAAAACAGATTAGTGATTGCCTAAAGCTGAGAGGCTTGAAAAGAAATGGAGATTAACTGCTAACAGGTACATGGTATCCTTTAGGGGGGATGAAAGTGCTCTAAAATTTGTTGTGATGATGGTTGTACAACTTTATATGTAATAAAAACCATTAAATTATAGAATTTAAATGGGTGAAGTCTATAGTATGTGAATTATATTTCAGTAAAGTTGTAAAAAAGGAAACCAAGGAAATATGATTTTTAATAGGAGATCCAGATAAAAGGAAAGGGAATTAGAAAAAAATAAGCCAGAAGAGTTAGGAATAAAATGCTTTAACCTTGAGCCAGATTTTAGCACTGAGCTATCTAGGATACAAGGAAGAAGTCTACAGCTATTTGATAGATTTCATTTTCTAAAAAATAATCACATATGGCTCTTACTGTCTTATAACTGGGATCTTTGCCAGAATTACATAGCAAACAGTACAATGTTGTCTTCTTTGGTGGGAGTCTAAAATGTATGTTTTCTGTGCTGATGGGAGTGTGGGGGTGAGGATTGATACCCTTTTTGTTGTTGTTGTTTGAGACAGGATTTTGCTTTGTCACCCAGGTAGAGTACAGTGATGTCATCATCACTCATTGTAACCTCCAACTCCTAGGCTTGAGCGATCCTCCTACCTCAGTTTCCTGAGTAGCTGGAACTACAGGTGTGCACTACCATATCTGGCTAATTTTTCTATTTTTTTTTATACAAATGGGTGTCTTGCCCTTGCTCAGGCAGGTCTCAAACTCCTGGCCTCAAGCAGTCCTCCTGCCTTGGTCTCCCAAAGTGCTAGGATCACAGGTGTAAATCACTGTGCCCAGCCTTAACGTATTTTTGTGTGTAGATTTTTGTGGAACTTTTGTATTACTCAATCAAAATTCTTACCTATTATCCTTCTTCACAGAGATGTACATGATTAGGTAATCCGTCTTAGGGCAGTCACTCTTGGAGAAAAGAAAAAGATGAATTAGAAGGAATATTTAAATTGAAGGGGTGACTACCATACCATTCCAAGGGGGCAGGGTGAAGATCTGAACTTCAACAGCAGTGGTAGCAGAAAGGAAAACTATGAGAACAATTAAGGATGGATAGTCAGTAGTTCAAATCAGTTACTAACTGATTCGAAGAAGATGGAATCCAAGTTGGCCCTCAACCCTCTGACTTAGCAAACTAGATGACTGATAACATATTCACTAGGTGAGAAAACATAATTGAAAAACACGAGAGAGTTGGGATGACACTAAAATACCTATAACACTTTGAAGTGGAGATGTCCAGCAAGGAGTTAGAGGTCCCAACTTGGAGAGCAAGGAAAAGGTCCTGGGCTGAAGGCATAAGTTGTCTCCTTGGGAATGTATGGAGAGTGATAAGTGAACAGCAGTAATGTGATGCCCTTTTATTAAATATGTTGCTTGTATCTGAATGGCAAGAAATTTCTGAAGGAAAAAAAATCTACTGACTGTACTCTTGGGTGAATTGTTCTTCAGTGAATGAGTGTAAAAATTGTATAGGTAAATGACTAAAGCCCAGAAATGACAATAGACTCACTTAAAAAAAAAATCCCTTACACAATTTGCAATGTAATATATAGTTAAGAAAGAAGAAGTGATATTTGGATAATAACAATATTAGATTGTGCATAGTTATCTCTGGGGACCCTGCAGCCTTCTGATTTCAAGGTCATCCTATATTAAGCATCATAGGAGGCAAGAAAACCTTCATGTTTCTCTACTGCATTCCTTTTATTAACAA